GCCCAGCCCAATTTCATATTTCATTGCATAATACCAGCAAGTGAATTAGGGCAGCGGTCCCCAACCTTTTTGGCACCAGGGACTGGTTTTCATGGAAGACAGTTTTTTAATGGGTGATGGTGTGATGTGGGGAGGGGAAGGTTTTTTTTTTTTTTTTGAGATGGAGTTTTGCTCTGGAGTGTGGTGGCGTGGTCTCGGCTCACTGCAACCTCCACCTCCTGGGTTCAAGCAATACTCTGCCTCACCTCCCAAGTAGCTGGGATTACAGGTACCCGCTACCATGCCCGGCTAATTTTTGTATTTTTAGTAGAGACAGCGTTTCACCATCTTGGCCAGGCGGGTCTTGAACTCCTGACCTCGTGATCCATCTGCCTTGGCCTCCCAAAGTGCTGGGATTACAGGCATGAGCCACTGCACCCAGCCAGAGATGGTTTTGAGATGATGCAGGCTCATTACATTTATTGTGCTCACTCTTTGTTTCTTTTTTCTTTTCTTTTCTTTCTCTCTCTCTTTCCCTTTCCTTTCCTTTCCTTTTCTTTCCTTTCTTTTTTTTTTGGAGACGAGGTCTTGCTCTGTCACCTAGGCTAGAGTGCAATGGCGTGATGTTAGCTCAATGCAACTTCTGCCTCCTGGGCTCAAGCGATACTCCCACCTCATCCTTCTGATTTGTTGGGACCATAGGTGCACGCCATCATGCCTGGCTAATTTTTTGTATTGTTGGTAGGACAGGGTTTCGCTATGTTGACCAGGCTGGTCTTGAACTCCTAAGCTCAAGCAGTCCACCCACCTCAGCCTCCCAGAGTGCTGGGATTATAGGCATAAGCCACCGTGCCCGACCTGTGCACTTTATTTTTATCGTTATTATATTGTAATATATAGTGAAATAATTATACAACTCACCATAATTTAGAATCAGTGGGAGCCCTGACCTTGTTTTTCTGGGGGTGATGGGAGGAAGTGATAGATCATCGGGCATTAGATTCTCATAAGGAGGGTGCAGCGTAGATCCCTCGAATGCAGAGCTCAATGTAGGGTTCATGCTCCCATGAGAATCTAATGCCACTGCTGATCTTATAGGAGGCGGAGCTCAGGTGGTGATGCCAGTGATGAGGAGTGGCTGTAAATACAGATGAAGCTTCACTCCCTCACTCACTTGCTCGATTGGTACTGGTCGATGGCCCAGGGGTTGGGGACCCCTGCGTTAGGGGGCTTCAGGGGCAGCAATCCGTAAGTCTCTGAAGTCATGTCACATATTGTAACTGAACATACAGTTAGGAGGATTGCATTTCACACTCAGGCAATGCAACCTTAGGTCAGAGACACTCCACATTCCTCAGAAAGAAATTTCAGAGCTATGAGAGCCTGGTGTAACTGATGATGGCTCTGTCCTTGTCTGTTGTTAAGGCATTTTGTTGTGGTTTAATAGTGCAGTATTTTTTTTTTCTTGGTGATGAAAAATAATGGTAGTTTACAATCTGACATGTTTGATGAAATACAGTTTAGGTCCAGCATTGTTCTAGGCCATGAGGATATACCAGGGAACAAAACAGGCAGAAATCTCTGCCCTCCTGGGCATTCTGGCTGCTGTGAAGAGGCTAGATAAGAAAGAAAGTGCAAAAGCCGAGAGACAGGAGGCCATTGAAGGAGTCCCAGTGAGAGATGATGTGGGGGCCACCAGCAGGGGTCAGTGGTCGAGAGGGTCAAACACTAGATGGTCAGGTACATTTTGTGGGTAGAGCCAATAGGATTGGGTAGTAGGTTGCATGTGGGGTACGAAAGAGTGGAGTTGAAAGTGCCAGGGTGAGTTAGGTTATCATCGAGTTGATTGTTGTAACAGACACGAAGCGGCAGCTGCGTAAGGCAGATAGCTGTTTATTTCTCTCTAAATGGCAGTCTGGTTAGGAGGCCGGGGCTGGAATGGCAGCTCTGTGCTCATTAGGAGCTCAGGTGCCTCCTCTCTTGTACCAACTTTCCTACCATATGGCTTCCATCTTTTGGCCCTTGTATGTCTGCATTCTGGCCAGAGAGGGGAGGGGAGGTCATGTGCCTCTTTCATGGCACAGCTTGAAAGTTGCACAGATCACTCCTGTTTACCTCTCACAGGCTGGAACCTGAGTCACATGGTTACAGCTACTTGCTGGGAAGGTTGAGAAATACAGTGTTTATCGGGCAGCCATGTGTTCAGCTGTACATTCTCTCTCGTTAGAAAGGGAGAACAGTCTTTGCCTTTCTTACCAAACCGTTCTCCCAAGGGGACAACCCCAGATCAACTTTAGGGTCCAGAATCTCTGGGTGATATACATTCCAGGAATCTTTAGTTTAAAACATAGTTATCAGGGTCTCTGCTCTCCCCCATACAGTGATGGAGAGGATAACGGAAGTAGAAATCCTTATTTGGAAAAGGGAAGAATGGGGAGTACACACCCTGTACTGGTCCATAGCTGTTGTCAACTGCTGCCAGGCTGAGCTGTGAGTGCTTCCCGGCTTGGCAGTACTGTGAGGTTCTGACCTTGCCTTTCTGGCAGCCTCGATTCTGGTCCCTTGGAGGAGCTCCCTTGTGCCTGGCCCTCCGTAGCCTCTGACTTTACTCTCTGGACAGTTTTTCTGTGGATTTGTTCCTCTGGGGTCACGTCTGAAGTGGGCATTGGAGGCTATCCTCTTTGTAGGGCTGAAGAGTTTCTCCAGCTTGCTTCCTGTTGGATATTGAAGGAGTAGGCTTTTTCTTCTTCTTTTTTTTTTATTTGTAGTGGGGCTGGAGGAGCAGGGGAAGGGGGCCAGGAGTAGGCTTTTTCAACCCTACGTAGCCCCAAATGACCAGACTCTATGTAAACTTTGTGGACCACGGACATTCCTTAGGCAGATCTATAGTCCGTTTTATCTGTGCATACGGATTGGTGAGCTTTGGCTTGAGTCCGTTTCACGCTTGCTGGATTTCTTGCTTAAAGTGGTGTGAAGCCAATTAGCACGCAAATTTTGTATTGTTCAACCAGTTTCCCTAGAATTACAGGCCATGGTGGCATGCAGGCTGTTTTCTAAGATATCATGGGTTTTGCCAGATGTTTTAATGTGACCTATGAGGGTTGCCATTCTTCCATCCTACAATATCTGTGCCCATGCTCACCCCTAAGCCAATTCTACCTATTTGTATTCTATTAAGGTTGACTATTTCCAGCTTCCAAATTCTGTATATTGGTTAGGATATTGATTTGACTGCTGTGGCAGAGATTGGAAATAATAATGGCTTAAACAAGATAAAAGTTAATTTTTTTCTACTTCAAGTGCAAATCTGGATAGGTGATTGAAAGCTGGCCTAGTAACTCTGTGACTGCTAGGGGGCCAGACTCATTCTGTTTTGTGCACTGTCATCCTCTATCTTATAGTCCAGGAGGGTTGCTCCAGCTTCTTTGAGGAAATTTACATCCCAGCCCTCAGGATGAGACTCAAGTGGGGGAAGAGGGCATGTTCTATCCCTTAAGAGCATGGCCAGATAGCTTCATATATCATTACTTACATCTCCTTGGCTACAGCTTAGTCTCCTGGCCACACTCAAATGCAAACATGGCTGAATTCGTTTTATTTTATTTATTTATTTTATTTTTTTGAGGTGGAGTTTTGCTCTTGTTGCCCAAGCTGGAATGCAATGGCGCCATTTCAGCTCACTGTAACCTCTGCCTCCCGGGTTCAAGAGATTCTCCTGCCTCAGCCTCCTGAGTAGCTGGGATTACAGGCGTGCACCACCATGCCTGGCTAATTTTGTATTTTTAGTAGAGATGGAGTTTTCACTATGTTGGTCAGGCTGGTCTCGAACTCCCGATTTCAGGTTATCTGCCCACCTTGGCCTCCCAAAGTGCTGGGATTACAGGTGTGAGCCACCGTGTCTGGCCACTTTTATTTTATTTTATTAGAGACAAGCTCTTTTGTGTCATCCAGGCTAGGGTACAGTGGCACAATTATAACTGTAGCCTCTAACTCCTTGGCTCAAGTGATCCTCCTGCCTCAGTTTCCTGAGTAGCTGGGAGATGTGTGCCACTGTGCCGAGCTAATTTTTAAATTTTTTGTTAGAGATGAGGGTCTCACTATGTTGCCCAGGCTCGTCTTGAACTCCTGGCTTCAAACAGTCCTCTTTCCTTGGCTTCCCAGGGCCCTGGGATTATAGACATGAGCCACCGTGTCCTGCCTGAATGCGTTTTAGGAGGCAACTAGCTTCTCTGTCCCAGGGATACCAGGAATTTTGGCCTAAGCAGCTCAGAAAATGGAGTTTTTGAGTTCCATTTGAGATGGGGAAAATGGAAAGAGAAGATTGGGAGGGAGACCTTATCGTCTGGTTTGAACATATTATGAATCTTTTTCCAGTTTTTTATCCATGTGGAGCCGTTAAGTAGATTGTTGTATAGGAGTTTGTAGTTCCTGGGGAGGTTGGGGTTAGGGCTCCTAATCTGGAAGCTGTCATCGTATTTAAAATCATGAGAATGGACAGATTTTACCTAGAGAGTGAGCATAAATGCAGAAGAGAAGAGGACCGAGCCTCCAGCCCTTCCAGCAATTACAGGCTGGGCCATCAGGAGGACTCAGAAAAGGAGACTGATAAGGCATAGGCACTGAGGTTGGAGGGCAGTCTAGAGAGCATGGAATCTGGTGTCCAGGGAAAGAAAGTATTTCATGATGTAGGGGGAATGCTCAGCTGTGTCTGATGTTGGTAAAATCAGAGGAGGACCAAGACTTGACTGTGGTATTTGGTAACATGGAGGCCCTTGGTTACCTTGACAGGACTGATTTCATTGCTGACTGGAGTAGGTTCAAGAGAGAATGGGAGGAGAGGGGAGGGCGCTCGGGAGTGAGGCGTAGGCTCCAGGGGTGCACTGGGAAGCCATCTGTAGATGGCAGAAGCCATGAGTTTTATTTTTATTTTTATTTTTTTTAAAGATGGGATTTCACCATATTGGTCAGGCTGGTCAAGAACTCCTGAGCTCAGGTGATCCGCCCACCTCAGCCTCCCAAAGTGCTGGGATTACAGGCGTGAGCCACCGCGTCCGGCTTGGCTCAGCCATGGGTTTTAAAGAAAACATGTGGTAAGCATATCTTTTTTGGTTTTAACTTTTCCCATTCTCTGCTATAATCACGACTTTCTTTATTCATTCAACACTCACTGTTTCTCTCTCTTTCTCCAAGGGAGGAAGTAGATAGATTTGTATATTATTCCTAGCATGATGTTTTGGGCCTGAAGAGTACCAAATAATAAATTTTGAGTCATAATATGGGGAACATTGGATCATATTATAGTTTTTAGAGCTTTAAAAAAATAGCTGAGTGGCAGATATTTAAGGGTAGGAGACTTGAATATTATTTAATTTGTTTGCTTAATTTCAACAAATATTTTTGGACAACGTGCCAGGTACTGAGGGATGTACATGTGGAGACGCTGCTCGAGTATGACTAACACATGGTCTACCTTCAGTGACCTCACTCTCCAGGTGGGGAGACAGGAACACAGGCAGCTAGACTTCCAGTGCTAAACAAACATTTCAGTAAAGGGGGTACAGTTGGTGGAGCAGTTAATTCTGATGGGAAATATAAGGAGGGGACTGGGAAGATTTGAATTACTGTAGTCTTTAAAGATAATTAGGATTTTGACATTTGGAGCACGGTAGCCAGGTGGAATGATGCATGCCTGTAATCCCAGTTACTTGGGAGGCCAAGGCAGGAGGATCACTTGGACCCAGTAGTGTGAGGGCAGCCTCGGCAACATAATAAGACCTTTCTCTAATAGAAAAAAAAAATTTTTTTTTTCTTTTTTGAGACAGATTCTCACTCTGTCACGTGACAGAGTACCGTGGTGCAATCTCAGCTCACTGCAAACTCCGCCTCCCAGGTTCAAGTGATTCTTCTGCCTCAGCCTCCCAAGTAGCTGAGATTACAGGTGCCCACAATCATGCCTGGCTAATTTTTGTATTTTTAGTAGAGACAGGGTTTCACCATGTTGGTCAAGTTGGTCTTGAACTCCTGACCTGAGGTGATCTGCCTGCCTTGGCCTCCCAAAGTGCTGGGATTATAAGCGTGAGCCACTGTGCCTGGCAAAAAAATTAAAAAAATTTTGGGAGGCCAAGGTGGGCAGATCACTTGAGTCCAGAAGTTTGAGACCAACCTGGGCAACATAGGGAGACCTGCTATTTAAAAAAAAATTAGCCAGATGGGGTGGCATGCACCTGTGGTCCCAGCTACTCAGGAGGCTGAGGTGGGAGAATCGCTTGAGCCTATGAGGTCCAGGGTGCAGTGATTCATGATCTGTGTCACTGCACCCCAGTCTGGGTGAGAGAGTGAGACCCTGTCTAAAAAAAAAAAAAAAAAAAAAAAAGTTAGAAAAACAAGTCTGTGGTGAAGAGAAATGTTTCATTTACTTCTTACTCTGGCCAAACTCTTTATATTCATTCTTTTGAAATATGAGAACCATTGAACAAAAACTGAAGATGGTGACAGATATGGGATATTGGTAGCTGCTTGCTGATCTGAAAGTTTTTTTTTTTTTTGAAACAGTCTGGCTTTGTCACCTAGGCTGGAGTGCAGTGGCACGATCTTGGCTCACTGCAAACTCCACTTCCAGGGTTCAAGCGATTCTCCTGCCTCAGCCTTCCGAGTAGCTGGGATTATAGGCATGTACCAACACACCCGGCTAATTTTTGTATATTTAGTAGAGATGGGGTTTTGCTGTGTTGGCCAGGTTGATCTTGAACTCCTGACCTCAAGTGATCTGCCTGCATTGGCCCCCAAAGTGCTGGGATTACAGGTGTGAGCCACCTCACCTGGCCTGATCTGAAAGGTTTTGAGATGTATCAGGCATAGCCAAATGTGTGACCCCAGGCTCCCTAAAACCACTAAGGGTCTGCAGCAGCTGACGGAGTAGGAGTTGGGGGGAAGTTGGAGGAACAGGAAAGGGGTTTTATTAAAATTACTTCTCTCCTAATGTTAAGCACACAGCACTGGATTGTCTATTCACTTGGTGTTATCTCCTACTGGGACATAAACTCCTGGCTCTTCTTGTTCACTGCTTTTTATCCAAGCCCTAGCACAGGGCTTGGCACAGAGTGGCTCAAAACAAATACTTGTTGAATGAATACAGTGATACAACATGACTTTTCATGACTCTCCGTTGTTTTTTTTTTTTTTAAATAGAGAGGGAGTTTCACTATGTTGCCCAGGCTGGTTTCCAACTCCTGGCCTCAAGCCATCTTCCCTCCTCAGCCTCCCAAAGTGTTGAGATTATAGGCGTGAGCCACCACAACCAGCCTGACTCCTGATTCTCATATTGCAATAGTTTATTTGTTCACTATATTAAGTTGTGTTAGTTAGGTTAAGGTAGGCACTTGAAAGAAGCCTCATTGTCAGAGTTCTAATTCAGAACCAGACATACCTTCAGGGGTTTTAGGTTGTTTGCTTTTTGTTTTGAGACGGGCCCAGGCTGGAATGCAGTGGCATTATCATAGCTCAGGGCAGCCTCAAACTCCTGGGCTCAAATGATCTTCCTGCCTAAGCCTCCTGAGTAGCTGGGACTACGGGCATGGCACTGTACCTGGTTCTTACCTGGATTTTATATGGACCAACAAATTGGTCTGTGATCATGGTCTTTCGTTAGACCTGTGTCTATACTTGTCACCAGGGCCAGCTTCACAGGCATGTGACTGCAAGCAGAGTTGCCCCACACTTGGTGTAATGCTCTGCTGTTGCTGTCTTGAAATTCTTAATACATTTGAACAAGGCAGGCTGCCTTTTCATTTGGCATGGGGCCCTGAAAATTCTGTAGCTAGTCTTGGTTGTCCTTGACTTTTTCTGTGTAGGTGGATATATGCCTGGGTAGATGTTGCAGTTCATTTGGACTCTTATAAAAAAAAAGCCATAAAGTGGGTAGCTTGTACACAGCAGCAATTTATTACTCACCGTTCAGGAGGCTGAGAAGTCTCAAGATCAAGGTGCTAAGAGATTCAGTGTCTCTTGAGAGCCAACCTCTTGGTTCATAGGTACCTATTTTCTCACTGTGTCCTCCCTTGGAGGAAGGCACAAAGGAGTCCCCTGGGCCTTCTTTTTGTAGATGGAATCTTACTCTGTCACCTAGGCTGGAGTATAATGGTGTGATATTGGCTCACTGCAACCTCCACCTCCCAGGTTCAAACTATTCTCCTGCCTCAGCCTCCTGAGTAGCTGGGATTACAGGCACGAGCCACAATCCCCAGCTAATTTTTGTATTTTTAGTAGGGACAGGGTTTCAGCATATTGGTCAGGCTGGCCTCAAACTTGTGATCTTGTGATTCACCCACCTCGGCCTCCCAAAGTGATGGGACTACAGGTGTAAACCACCATGCCTGGCCCTCTGGGCCTTCTTTTATAAGGGCATTAATCCATAGGTCCTGAGGGATTCTGCCTTCATGACTTAATCACATCCCAAAGGCCCCATCTCCTAATTCTGTCAGCGACCCTCCCACCTCAGCCTCTCGAGTAACTGGCACCACAGGTGTGCACAACCATGAATGGCTATTTTTTTAAAATTTTAGTTTTTAAGTTCTGGGGTATATGTGCAGATGTGTAGGATTGTTATATAGGTATGTTATATAGGTAAGCATATGCTATGGTGGTTTGCTACACCTGTCAACCCATCACTTATTGAGCCCATCATGCATTAGATTTTTTTTTTTTTTTTTTTTTTTTTTTTTTTGAGACAGAGTCTAGCTCTGTTGCCCAAGCCGGTGTGCAAAGGCATGATCTCAACTCACTGCAACCTCTGCCTTCCAAGTTCAAGTGATTCTCCTGCCTGGGCCTCCCGAGTAACTGGGATTACAGGCACCCACCACTATGCCTGGCTAATTTTTGTATTTTTAGTAGAGACAGGGCTTCACCATGTTAGTCATGCTTGTCTCAAACCCCTGACCTCAGGTGATCTGCCCACCTCTGCCTCCCAAAGTGTTGGGATTACAGGCGTGAATCACCATGCCCAGCAAGCTATTTTTCCATTAGCTCTCTGTACCCACTGCATGGCCAGTTTTGAAAAATTTTTTTTTTCTGAGACAAGGTCTTGCTCTGTGTCACCCACGCTGGAGTGCTGCAATGCAGTGGCATGATCATGGCTCACTGCAGCCTTGACGTTTCGGGCTCAAATGATCCTCCCACCTCAGCCTTCGGAGTATCTGGGACCACAGGTGGTGCCACCGTGGCTAGCTAATTCTTTTATTATTTGTAGACGAGCTCTCACTATGTGGCCCAGGCTGGTCTTGAATTCCTGTGTTCAAGTGATCCTCCTACCTTGGCCTCCTAAAGTGCTGGGATTACAGGCATGAACCATGGCACCCAGCCCTTAAAAACTTTTTTGTAGGCCGGGTGCGGTGGCTCACACCTGTAATCCCAGCACTTTGGGAGGCCGAGGCCGGCAGATCACCTGAGGTCGGGAGTGCAAGACCAGCCTGGTCAACATGGAGAAACCCCATCTCTACGAAAAAAAAATACAAAATTAGCTGGGTGTGGTGGCACGTGTCTGTAATCCCAGCTACTCGGGAGGCTGAGGCAGAAGAATCACTTGAATCCGGGAGGTGGAGGTTGCAGTGAGCCAAGATCTCGCCATTACACTCCAGCCTGGGCAGCAAGAGCAAAACTCCGTCTCAAAAAAAAGAAAAACTTTTTTGGAGTCATGACATCTTGCCATGTTCTCCAGGCTGATCTTGAACACCTGTCCTCAAGCGAGCCTCCTACCGTGAACTCCTAAAGTGCTGGGATTACTGGCATGAGCCACCATGTCTGGCTGATATTGAATCTTTAGATAACTCATTTTACTTCATCAAATCTTTTTTGTTGTTGGGGTAGTAATTAGAAATATTAGATTTCTTCTTTTTTAAAAAAATGAAGATTTTTGACACATAAGCGTTTATTTCCACATTCTTTTTATTTTTTATTTTTCTTTTGTAAGCTGTTTCATTTATTCCATGATTTAGAGGAACTATCTTCAAACCAATACAAATATATATAATATCTGGCCATTTTCTAACCAATTGAGTACTTTGTTGCACAGTAAGCTACCTCACATCTTTCAGCTAGAAATACATTAAATTTGAATAATAAAGACATTATATAATGAATTAGGACACAATTAAAGTTTATTTTAAATAGTTCTTTGGGGAAGGGGGCACCACACTTGTACTCAATGAAGAGAAACATTTTTATAGTTCAGAGGTCTGTTATTTATTTATTTATTTTTGAGATGGAATTTCACTCTTGTTGCCCAGGCTGGACTGCAGTGGTGCGATTTTGGCTCACTGCAACCTCCACCTCCCAGGTTTAAGTGATTCTCATGCCTTAGCCTCCTGAGTAGCTGGGAATACAGGGATGTGCCGCCACTCCTGGCTAATTTTGTATTTTTAGTAGAGAAGGGGTTTCTCCACGTTGGTCAGGCTGGTCTCAAACTCCGACCTCAAGTGATCTGCCCTCGTCCGCCTCCCAAAATGCTGGGATTACAGGCATGAGTCACCGCGCCCGGCCATCTTTTATTTATTTTTTTTAACACCTCTTATTCCGTGAATTCATAGGTAAAAGGTTCCAGCAGCTCAGGCTTCTTCCCTTCAGTTCTCACACAGTGTACTTCTCTGGGTGGAGCAGGCTGGCACTTCAGTTGAATCCAGGTACCTGTCTCTTTGGCTTTCTTTTCTTTTTTTTTTGAGGCAGAGTTTTACTCTTATTGCCCAGGCTGGAATGCAATGGCAAGATACTGGCTCACTGCAACCTCTGCCTCCCAGTTTTAGCAATTCTCCTGCCTCAGCCTCCTGAGTAGCTGGAATTACAGGCATATGCCACCATGCCCAGCTAATTTTTTGTATTTTTAGTAGAGACAGGGTTTCACCATGTTGGTCAGGCTGGTCTCAAACTTGTGACCTCAGGTGATCCACCCGCCTCCCAAAGTGCTGGGATTAGATGCATGAGCCACTACGCCCGGCTTTGGCTTTCTTCTTTTTCTGATCATTTTCCTTCATGAGTTTTAGGAAGTGATGTCTGCTCTTAGATTGCTTAATGTGCTCAATATACATATTAATTGTCTTGATAAGACTGTTGCCCTTGTTCATTTACTACAATGTCAGCATCATGCTGGGGAACATTGTAGACTCTTCCAGTCTAGCCATGGTAACACTCGTGAGGCATTTTTTTTGGAATAGTACCCATTCCCTTGGTGTCTGCAATATCACCTTTCTTATAGATTTGTGTGTATGTGGCCAAAGGAACAACTTTATGTTTCCTAAAAGGCCTAGAGAAAATACATTGGGTGCCTTTCTTCTTTCCCTTGTGTTTGTCATTTTGGCAAATTACTGGAAGATGGGGGTTCTGACTGACTGAAAGGATCCGCATTCTTTTTGTTTGTTTGTTTTTTAAGAGATGGGTCTTGCAGTGTTTCCCAGGCTGGTCTTGATCTCCTTGGCTCAAGCAATCCTTCCACCTCAGCCTCCCAAAGTGCTGGGATTACAGGCATAAGCCACCGTGCCCAGCCAGGATTCACATTCTTTTTTTTTTTTTTTTTTTTTTTTGAGACGGAATCTTGCTCTGTTGCCTAGGCTGGATGCACTGGCAGTATCGTGGCTCACTGTAGCCTCGAACTTTTGGGCTCAGGTGATCCTTCTGCCTTAATCTCCCAAGTAGCTAGGACTACAGGTTTGTGCCACCACACCCAGCTAATTTAAAAAAATTTTTTGGTCCAGGTGTGGTGACTCACACCTGTAATCCCAGCACTTAGGCCAAGGCAGGCAGATCACGAGGTCAAGAGATCAAGACCATCCTGACCAACATGGCGAAACCCCGTCTCTACTAAAAAAAAAAAAAATACAAAAATTAGCCAGGCGTGGTGGCGCACACTTGTAGTCTCAGCTACTTGGAAGGCTGAGGCGGAAGAATCACTTGAAGGCGGAGGTTGCAGTAAGCCAAGACTGCGCCACTGCACTCCAGCCTGGTGTCAGAGTGTGACTCCATTTCAAAAAAATTTTTTTCTTTTATAGGGATGGGGTCTCATTATATTACCCAGGCTGGCCTCAAGCCTTCCTCCCTTAGCCTCCCAAAGTGCTGGGATTATAGACATGAGCCACCACACCCAGCCAACATGGGGCAAAAGTTACCAGAATCAGTTTTATGGAATAGTGTTAGAAGTAGTGGATGCTGGCCAGAAGCAGTGGCTCATGCCTGTTATCCCAGCTCTTTGGGAGGCCAAGGTGAATGGATCACTTGAAATCAGGAGTTTGAGACCAGCCTGGCCAACATGGTGAAACCCTGTCTCTACTAAAAATACAAAAATTAGTTGGGCGTGGTGGCACGTGCCTGTAAGTCGTAGCTACTAGGGAGGCTGAGGCAGGAGAATCACTTGAAGCTGGGGGACAGAGGTGGCAGTGAACTGAGATTGCACCACTGCACTCCAGCCTGGATGACAGAGTGAAACTTTGTCTCAAAAAAACCAAAACAAAACCAGAAGTAGAAGTAGTGTATGCTTAGTTATCTAACTAAGCTCATCTCGTCTGTTAAACCAAGTAGGATCAAAGATGAGAATGGAGACAGTACCATCCACTTCTATTCCCTGGGAGGTTTTTGGTTGTAAAGGGCTTGAAGTTGCTGCAGCAAGAAACCT